GGCAACTTTCCGCAGGCTGCCAACAAGTCTGACTGATCCACGGCTGCAATACCCTCCCGCTTGCCTCCTTGAAGACAACATGCAACGCAGCTCCACCAGCGACGCTGACAGCCGGGAACACCTGCGAGCGCCGCGATGAATTCACAAGCTGACTGAATGTACGCACAGGCGCGGTCAGGGCCAAGGTGGAAGGGGGCGCTTCCAACAGACACCCTGGCGAAGAGACAGCAATCCACGACGCTAACTTCTCGAAGAGAGATACCCATACAAGCTGCCCAAACTTCTGAATATCGCTTGGGCGTTGTAGCAAAGATGCGAGGATGTTTCAGAGACCCCGAACTTTCGCATTGACCATATTTGTTTACGATAAGAAGCAGAAGTCCAATCAGCCAGTCCTCCCACCTCTGAGTCGATCCCCACCGTGTACCCTCCGAGTGATTTTGGCTGTCCCTTTTTTGTTGCTCGCACCGAGTCTCCTGAGAGCAGGAAAGAAGCATTCGTCGGATCAGTCTCAACTCGCCCTCCTCTGAACCTGAGAGCAGGAGAGAAGCCTCCCTACTCCGAGTTTCTTGATAAGCGTCGGGGGGGCGTCACCACTGCTGACAGCCCCACATCAACCCCCGTCGCGGGCAGCCACCGCGCGCCGAAGGCGCTCCGACCCCCGTTGCGGCGCGACGACGAGGCGAGGTTGACCCCCGTCGGGTGGGTACCCCTCCACGCTTATTAGGAAACCCAGAGTAGCTTAAGTCGGGCGTGTCCCCCTACGGGGGGATTTTCGACGAAAAATGAAAATACTAAAAAATACTCCAAAATGGTAAAAAGAATACTCAAAAAAAAGTCCCCCGACTGTTTTTTTCCTATTTTTTGATATTCCCCCTGTAGAGGAACAGGCCCGACTTAAGAGTAGCTTCATCCACCTCCTCTCTGGGCTTTCCTCCGTACCCACCTTGGCTCCCCTCCGCGCACGATGCCAGAGGCGGCCAGGCCGGAAGAAGAAAGTGGGGCGGCGGTGCCTGTCCCATCGGGGGCGCTCCATAAAAGAAACGGTCGTGAGCGCCACACTTTCTGGCATCCTTTTGCTGGCTCCTGCGAAGCGCCTCGTCGACGCCAGTCGACACAAGTCAACGCCACTCGACACCAAGTCGGCGCGTCGTCACCGATTGCCAGACGCCAGCGCACGCGAATGCACTCTAAAAAAAGGACCTTCGGCGGTGGGCAAACCTCCCTTTAGTAAACCTCCCCTTAATGATAACGGCCTGGGACCGAAACCGACGGACCTGGATCCGCAAAAAGGACGGCCGCGACGCCCTCTCGCGAACCGAAAACAGCCAATTCCTTAATCGACGTGTCAGGATACGAGGTCTGTCCACCCCCGAGACCTACGAGGACGTGCAGGGCTCCCAAGAGTTGCTACAGAACACACTCTCGCGCGCACCCACCGCGGGGAACGATCCAAGGGACGAGGGATCAGGCAGGGGGGGGAGGAGGAGGAGGAGGAGGAGGAGGAGGAGGAGGAGGAGGAGGAGGAGGAGGAGGGGAGGAGGAGGAGGAGGCGGAAGGAGGAGGAGAGGCGGGAAGAGGAGGAGGAGGAGGAGGAGGAGGGGGAGGAGGAGGAGGAGGAGGAGGAGGGGAGGAGGAGGAGGAGGAGGAGGAGGAGGAGAAGGAGGAGGGGGAGGAGGGGGAGGAGGAGGAGGAGGAGGAGGAGGAAGAGGAATTCGGCCCACCGAGGGGGCGGGTCGTGGCCACAGAGACACGCCGCGGAGGAGGAGGAGGAGGGGAGGAGGAGGAGGCGTGGAGGAGGAGGTGAGGAGGAGGAGGAGGAGAGGAGGAAGGAGGAAGGAGGGAAGGAGGAGGAGGGCGGACAGGAAGGAGGAGGAGGAGGAGGAGGAGGAGGAAGGAGAGGAGGAGGAGGGAGGAGGAGGACGGAGGGAGGAAGGAGGAGGGAGGGGCGTCCTCGGGGCGTCCCTTAGTGAGCGCAGACTCTCGCGCGCACCCAGAGGGCAAAGACCATTCGCCGCCCATTAGCCCGCGGCCGCGGTCGCCGCGCCGCCCTCCCCAATGGGGCCGCGGCGCACGGGCGGCGGGCGCGCGGGCGGCCACGGCGGCCTCCCAGTGCTCCTCGAGGCCTCCCAGCTGGGGTCCGAGTACAGTCACGGCTCTGCCCGAAGTTGGGAGGCAACCACTCCTCCTCCTACTCCCCTCCCCCCCCTGGTTCTCTCCCATCTTCCTCCTACCTGCTTTTCCTTTTTCCCCCCCCGCCCCACGCGCGCCCCCTCCTCCTCCTCCTTGCGTCCTCCCTCCTCCTCCTCCTCCTCCTCCTCCTCCTCCTCCCCCCCCTCATCCTCCTCCTCTTCCGCCTCCTCCTCCTCCTCCTCCCCGTCCTCCTCCCCCGCCTCCTCCTCCTCCTCCTCCTTCCTCATCTCCCTCCTCCCTCCTCCTCCTCCCCTACTCCCTCCTTCCTCTTCATCCTCCTCCTCTCCTCCTCCTTCCTACTCCTCATCCTCCTCCCCCTCCTCCTTCCGCTCCTCCTCCTCCTCCTCCTCCTCCTCCTCCTCCTCCTCCTCCTCCTCCTCATGGGATGTCTTCGTCGGAAGGACTAGGGAGAATGAAGCCTTACAGGGGGGGCTGCTACGCTGGACTGGGCCGCGGATGGAAGCGGGAGCACAAGCCAGAGCAACAACGGGGCTGTCCTGGACACGACGAGCCTCGGCCGCGATCAGGCTCTCCGACCTAGAAGCCCGAGGCCCGGCCCAGAAACCCGAGCCCCGTCCAGAACCCAAGGCGGCCCTTGCTTCGGCGCCTTGGCAGGCGGGGTCGAAGCGCCGCGCCGCATCGCCGGTGCATCGGCGGCGTGCCGGCGACGTCGGCGAGGGGAAAATCGGACTCCAAATCGAGCCGAATCGCCGATGCATCGGCGACGCGGCGCGGTCCTCCGACCCCGCCTGCTCGGACCCCAGCCGGGGAGCTCCCCGACGGGGCGGCCCCCTGCCCCAGGACCAGGCTCTAGGTCGGGCATGGCCTCCTACAGGCGGATTCGGGAGCAAAAACAAGTGGCACGCGTGCCCTGGCTCTTGCACAAAGGAGCTGCGAAGGACAGGAGGCCCTCGCCTCCTTCCTCCAGGAGGGGTTTAGGAGGATCCAGGAAGAAAGCGGAGGAGGAGGACGACGACGACGACGATTTCTGGGGCCTGGCCTGGTTTTGTTTCTAGGCCTCGGCCAAGAGTGCCTCAGTGGTTCCCCAAGAGCCGGGGGGCTACCCTGGGAATCGTGGACAGGGGGGGGGGGGGGGCGGGGGGGACGGGGAGGGGGCTGAGGGGGCGA